AAATTTTTCGACTTGGAATTGATCGGAATCGGTGAAGAAGACGGTTGTGAAGCTACCGGAGGAGGAGACTTCACCGAATTAGCTTTCGGATTCACTAAATTAGCAGTAGGAGGAGAAGATCCGGATCCGGAACCCGACCCGAATGAGGAACTGAAGCTCCACCATTCGATGCTATGAATCTCTGTGCTTCCTTGAGTAGACCCGGAGAATCCGACGAACATGAAATCGTTCACGTATCGATCTAAATCAAGAGGGAAAGACAAAATCGGAGCTTTTGGTTTCAGATTGGAGTAAGAGACAGAGACGTTAAAGACCCGGGTCGACCCGTTATATTCGATCCACGAATTCACGGTGTTTCCGCTCTTTAGATCGATTTCCACTGTTCCGAGATCGCCGGAAACAGAGGAAACGACGCCGTTCACGTCGAATCCGACATGGTTTCCGTTTATATCCTTGAAATCTACATCCATTAGAGTATCGAACTCGACGGCAACGAATTTGGAGCTTGAGGATCCGTCGGGTCCGGCGAGACCTAACGAGCCACCGGCGGCGCCGATTGTGTTTCCGTCCGGTGAGATAACGAAAGCGAGACCACCGCCGATTGAAGAAGGGTTTACATTGGTGATTGAGAAGGAGAAAAAAGTGGAGAAGCTTGTCGGAAAGTGAGTTCCTGGTTGTCGGAATCTGATGGGGTTAGTGTATAAGACTTTTCCGGCACCGGAGTTAGGAACAGAGAGGTCACGCGTGAGGCTAACGATTCCGTTGCTCAGACGAGCATCACCAAGAAGCTTGAGGTTGCTTATAGCTAACGTGGAGAAATCAAACTCCGTCGTAGTAGTAGCTCCATTGAAACAGAGCAAGATCGAAATACAGAAGAAGATAAAGAGAGACATTATTATCAGTGGAATGTGTTTTCAGAGAAGAACCATTGGAGAAGATTAAGATTGAGAGAGAGAGATTGATGAAGGTCACGGGATGTGTATTGGGGCAATACTTTGCTTGGAGTAAAGTGA